GTTCTTATCAGCTGTAAATATTGTCAATGCAAAGCAGATCGTACATAAGTACATAAGTATGTGTGCAAATTACGCTGCTTGCTCATGCAAGCAGTGCACCATCAGCGTCTGTGTTTGCTGCGTGTGCGTGTGCACAAAGTAACGGAAACTCTAGACTTGAATATAAACAAAAAACAAACGAGCAACTGACCAACAGAAGAGAAGCTCAATGCGACGTTGCCATTTTCTGCTATGCTTGCTATTTACTCTTATTGTTTGCTTTGCTTTGCTCTCTCTCTCTCTCTCTTTTTACGGCATGTGCATGTGCCCGGTTAACAACAGCGCACGCAGCTTTTCGACTTTGCCAAAAGACCTCGGCTCTATTTGTTCTTTCGCTTCATTTTCGGGAATTTCAGCGCTTAACTCATAAAAAATGCGTTGCTAACAACCGGCTTTATCGGCCCAAAGAGCAAACAGAGACTTGTTTTTGAGTATTATTCGCGCAAAACAAGAAAACAGAAAATAAAACAGAAAAAAAAAACACAAGTTAACGCGTGACTTTTTTTTTATAGTTCGCATGTACATATATGCCCCCACGTATCGCAAATCTATTTATGCATAAAGCTTGCCATACATACATATACATACATATATGCTAGCTACACCTAGGTACATATGCATATGTATGTACCTATAAATGCTTTGTATGTATATGTATGTATATGTGTGGTATGCTTATACAATCAGTTGCGATAAGTTCTTTGCTTTTTTGGGGGCTCGATCGCTTGAGGCGTGTATTTTGCCACGTCTAGAAGTCTGCTCTACGTGTGTGTGTGTGTGTTGGTGTGTGCCATTGGCAACAGCAATCGCAAATTCGAAAGAGCAAAATCGATTGCCCCCCAGCGCGCATCAGCTGACTAGCTTTTGATCCATCTGATTTTTTTTTTCTTTTCTTCTTTTCTAGCGTGGGCTGACGTCGGAATCTTATGTTATTTTTTTTTTTTTGCCGTGACATTTGGATAAGATACGAAACGAATAGCGCAGGAAATGACGCTGAATAGTGTAGCAAGTGCCAAAATGTTGGTAAACAGTTTCCATATCCAATTGGAGCATTCAAACAAGTGGGCAAATACAATACTGGACATATGTACATATATGTATCTGAAGTATTTGTAGTGCTTGAGGCAAGACACGAATGCAAACAACAGCAGTTTTTCACACAACAGTTAAATGTTGACACAACTTATTTGAATACAAATTGCAAATGGAAGCTAAACACACACGAGCCGAGTGATTATCTTTTTGTAAACAAATCCCACATTCAGTTAATGTACAGTAGTTGAGTAGAAATCAGGAATTTAAAGAAATTCGCATAGTTTTAATAAAGTTTTCTTTTTTTGAGACAAATGTTTTAAACATTTTTGGGTTCTTTCAGAATGTGCAAACTTTACATTTAAAATGAATGCAATAAAACTCAGCAAACTTTTCACACAAATACATTTGTAAATTGGAAACAGTTCTATTTAACGAGTGACTACTGTAGCATGCATGTATGTACATAAATGTTGCATACACAGGCTGATAAGCAACGCCCTGCCCACATTACATTGCGCACATTATCAGCTGAATTATCATTTGATTTACGAGTAATTGCAACAGTTTGGGCTTAAATTTGATAATTGAAAGCAAATGTGAACCGTAAAAACAGCATGCTCTATATAGGAATGTGCCGTTCATTTCTCGATTCGATACAATTACAATAGCTATATGTGTATACGAGTAAATGAGTCCAATTGCCAGACAACAGTTCAACGACATAGAAAGTGGTGTATAACGCAGCTGCACAGTGTGCCAAGAGTGTAAAACATGTGACTCATGCTTTGGCACAACGTGAGCATCACGTGAAACAATGAAAAAAAAAAAAAAAACGAACACAAACAAAAAACAAAACGAAAATGAAAAGTTTTGCCGATTGAGGGAGAAACGAGCTCTATAGACACCACCCAAACCGATGCGCTGAAAACCAGTTTTTTTATTTGCCTTTTATTACTCTTTCAATACATTAGCATTCTGCATTATGATTTTGTCATTAAGTATGCAACGCTTGGAAGTTGACATCAAAAATTGAGTTCGTCGGACCACTATATTATATATACATACACTATAATATTGTTTCGTTATATGGGAACAATCGTTGCAAGATATGGATTTCATATAAAAAAACCCCACTAAGATCAGAGCTAACAATGTGAAATGTTAAAAAAAAATCGATATAGAAAACCTGTTTTTAAAGAAATTCTCTTAGGGTTTACGAACTAGAAGAAGCTTTTAAAATAATATGTACAGTTTAAGTATCTTTCATTTCATAGCTAACGCCGTGCTCCGCCTTCAATTCCTTTTCCTATTGCATTTTTGAGAATATAAAAGATCTGTTGCTGAAGAAGAGTTATTAAAGGAAATGAACATTTTTTTTAATGCTAAAGCAAAAGAAAGCGCAGCGCGAAGAGTATTCGCTGGTCGACTAGAGCATTCTTGCATCTTTTTCTTTTTTGAGAGAATGAGAATTAACTGCAAAATGTATTTAACCGAATTCGAGCCAAGCTATGAAGTCATTTGTGTCTATTGAAAAACACAAACACTAAGCATATATTTATATACATATATCTATATGTATATGTATTGCAATTAACATTAATTAGAGTAATGAAAATGCCCACTAAAAAGCTAAAGCATTCAACAAATGTCTAAAATCAATTTAGCACCAATATCTAGTATATATGTGCACACATATTTATTTCGAGCAGCGACTAGAAAAATATCAAAATATTTAGAGGCATAATTAACAAGCTCGAGTGCTTGGCAACAGCAAGTCAGACACGCTTGTTTACAACCAGCTTCGATGACTATGAAATCGGCAATTAAATCATAAAATGGTTCCTCTATTTATGCGCCGCAGGCCCTCGAGGGCCGCCGACTATCAATAATAATGAGAAGAAAAAAAAAAAAAACAAAAATCATGTACAATTATTTAGTTGTTGGCGATGATACGAAACAAATACACAAATACACTCTCATATGATTTTTGTGTGTGTGTGTGTGTGTGTTTTTTTGTCAACTTTTGTTTTTTGTTCAAGGTCTGATAAGAGCCGTGTGGCGGTGTTATTTTTATGATGCATAATTTTCTTTTTAAATTTTGTTATACATTTATCAAGCTGCTTTACAGTGAAACCTCCTTAGAGCGGACACGGTTTCCGCTTTTAAGAGTTGTCAAAGAAATTTCATAATCACAGCAAAAATATATTCTGTTAAACATAAATAAGGCAAAATAAATGTTGGCTAGCTATTTGTTCGCTTAGTCCGTTTGCAGAGGCTTCACTGTATTGCACTCAAAAAAAGTGGGCGTGCGTCTCTATTTGCAGCTTGACAACAATACGCCGTTTCGTGCGCCGTTAATCGTATATTTGTCACACTGTGCCCTATTTGCTGTGCTGCTCTAGTTCCAATAAGAAAACAAAACAAAAGCAAAAGCACAAAATAAAAACGTTATTAAAAATAGAAGCAAAAACAAGTGCAAAAACAAAAACAGTTCGTTGAAAAAGTTTTGCCAACGAGCTAGCTGAACAAAATATTTTGTGCATTTATGTTTATGGTGGGAGCGGGCAGACAAGAGGGGGGTCAAACAACACTTGAAGGGTTTGGAAATCGAATGGGAACACGTGCAAAGACCACAACCAGCTGCTTATGCAATTGGGCTAACTGTAAAGCAAAGGCCTAGGTAGCATATATTCAATACATATGTATTTATATGCATGTGTGCCCGGGCAGCGTCAATGTAAACAATGTGTGGAGTGTGCGCGAGAACAGGCAGCGGGAAGATGGTGAGGGGGGGAGGGGTGCTTGCTTGTAGGCAGATCTAAATACGTATGCGTTGATTACATAATGGCAAAGACAAGACCCAAATGCAGCGACGACTGTAGAGAAAAATCGATTTTTGCCAACAGTTGGCAAAATGTTTTTGCACGCCAACAACACAAAAGATGCCGGCCACAAGAAGGTGAAGAGATGGAAACGCGGACTGCTTATTAGAATACATATATCTTGTTTTTTTTTTTTTTGTATTTTACCTCCTTTGGTGGGAATCCTGTGCGTGCTGTGCTGTGCACGGTAGCCGGTAATCATCTCGTAGTTGCCCGCATCGCGACGCAGCGGGAATGCAATCTCGATGATGTGGTCGCACGGTTGCATAAGCATCAGAATACCCTTTACCTTCTGCTTTTTCTCGTCTAGCGACAATTTGCCCTTCATGTCATCGATCAGACGATCTTCGGATATTTGGCAGCCGCGATGGAAGAAGTACTCGACCATGTCAAAGAAACGCGGATCCTTGGCAGTTGGCACATCCTTGAGACGATCGGGAATTTGGTAATTGCGTGTCTGGAGCACAGCAGTGGGCAATGCCTTGGCCAAGGCGGTCAACTCCTGCTGGCGCATAGCGCCCTGTCGAGCCAAACTCTTCAGGTGATACATGATTTCTATACTACGCACACACAATTGCCACACTACACAAAATTCAAATGTTCTAAATTGGTACCGCTCCTCAGAAGCTGCTGGCTAATGCACAACCGCTTGCTTTTCGACGCCGCTCCAAACTGAGCGCATTGCGGCACGCTCCATACGTTGAAAGCTTTTTCACCAGAACCATGGTGAAAATTACATTTGCCATGACTAAAAGCGCGCGAAAACTAGTGATGAGTGCATGAGCACAGACCGCTTATCGATATTTTCGTGTAATCAGTTATCAAAATATCATAATGGATTTAATAAATATTTTGTGACAGCCATTAAATATGCATAACTGTTAATCTAAAAGAAACATAACAACTTGCCTTGTCACTGATTATTAACAATTTCGGTTAATTTTGTTGCAATATCTATCGATTGTACTTCACTATCGAATTGCTGAGCTGCAGACTGGCAGCTCTCATTTTTCCACCCCAGTTGGCAGCCCTTTTTTTTTACGATATTCATAAATTGTTTTGCGAATCACAATTGCATATCTTTGTTAGTTAAAGAAGTAATCACAAGTGTTTGCAAAATTAAAGTTAGAAAACAATTTAAAGCGTTTCACCAACATGTTCTGCAAAGTAGGAAGGCAGCTGGGCCAGCAGATAGGCCAGCAAATACGTTTGACATCTCGCCGCATGTTGGCCACCACAAAAACTTTATGCAAAGGTAGTTAAAACGCAGTGTGACATAATGTTTATCTAGTAAACTAACGATTTTTGCAGATGCCGAAGCCAAGGCAGAATCGGAACCGGCACCGCCTAAAAGCATACTCGTGGAAAAGGATAAAAATATTACTTTGATCGGTATTAACCGTCCACAGCAGCGCAATGCCATCGATTCGAGTACCGCTTCCCAGCTTTGTGAGGCATTCTCCGCCTTCGAGGCGGATGATACCTCGCCGGTAGCCGTCCTGTATGGTGTGGGCGGATCGTTTTGCTCGGGCTTTGACATTCTTGAGATCAGCACCGACGAAAAGGAGGAGATAAGCGTTGATATTCTGATGCGTCCCGAGGGATCTGTTGGTCCCACACGTCGCCAGATTAAAAAGCCGGTCATTTGCGGCATCAATGGCTATTGCATAGCCAATGGCTTGGAGCTGGCGCTCATGTGTGATTTGCGCGTCATGGAGGAGTCGGCTGTGCTGGGCTTCTTTAATCGGCGCTTTGGTGTGCCGATGCTAGACGGTGGCACTGTGCGGCTGCCCGCCATGATTGGACTCTCCCGTGCGCTGGATCTGATACTCACGGGACGCCCGGTGGGTTCACAAGAGGCGCATGATATTGGCCTAGTTAATCGTATTGTGCCCACAGGCACAGCGCTGGGCCATGCACTGGAGCTAGCCACTTGCTTGGCCAAATTTCCGCAGCGTGCACTCAATCATGATCGCAACTCGGTTTACTCCGCCTCGTTTGAGACATCAACGTTCCACCAGGCCGTGCAGAACGAGGTAATGTACACATCACGCGAAATCATCGAGGACATGCAGAACGGCATCAAGTGGTTCAATAATAGTGAGTAGCTTCTACTTTGCTGGTAGCTCCAAATTTAATTTAAAAACTTCATTCCATGCAGCGTTCAAGGCAGACACCACACATTCGTGGCTGAAGCGCGACCGATCTATGGCTGACTGGGATGATGAGGATGTGGCAGCTGCAGCAGCTCAAAAGGAGACCAAAAAGCAGGAGGAAGAAGCAGCACTTGTTGAGGCTGAGAAGCAGAAGCTGGCAGAGAAGGCGCTCAAGAAGTCCAAGAAATCCGTTGAAGCAAAACCTGAAGAAAAGACCAGCGAAAAGGACAGCAGCAAAATAACGGATCCAAACGAAAAGCCAAAGGATAAATAAGGGCAAACTTAGTGCATAGAACTAAATTAAAATATTTTGTATATAATAACATCCTTACATGCAGTTCAGAACTGATCAACTTGAATTTGTTAATTTATTTAAATACATAACCGTGAAACACTGAAACTATAAATATACAAATTTTCCAACTGACAATGATAAATCATTTAGAAAATATTTGGAAATAACTTATATATTAAATATCAATCTTATTTTTAAGATTGTAGTTCACAAGCAGAGCTGAAAAAGTCTAATAAGTTTTTGCTTTCATCATAGCAGATTAGTTCCACTCGGGCTAAGCCGGGTAATGCCTGCATTTTCACGAACTCAACGCCAGATGGCTTGCAAGCGCGACATGTAGAGGGCGCTTTGGTTATCAACAAGTAATTGATGTTAGCACGGAGATAACCCGGCCAGCACGGTGCCAGCAGCCACACGTCGAGTTAATGAGTCAGATTTGACACCTAAACGCCTTCAAGCTGGGGCGATCTTGCGCTACGTGCACTTTGAATTCGCATCGAACATGTGCTCCAGCCGCATACAAGAGTGTTTGTCCACAGTTCAATAGGAATAAATTGCAACGATGTGAATTTCATTAAATCTGATTAAGCATTGTCATTAGTAGCATTTAATTTGTAATCTATGTATTCACAAAGTGAACAGAGTTGAACAAATGGTCATATTTTGATTAGACATTTTCGTATAAATACTGCGAGCAGGCGATGTTACACTTTCAAACTGTTTTCCATATTTAAGACGTCGTTGTGTCGCCAATAAAAACAGAGACTCGAAAATTGAAAGCTAAGCGAATATAAGCCTAAAGACGAAGGTATTAAATTCGTAAACACACTCAATAGTCAGCTCTCGCCGGCAGCCAAGTTCGGTTCTTCGACTTTCCGAAACTCTTCAATTGCTCCAAAGTACTTAAAGTAATTGTTGACTGAGACAAAGAGTCGCTGTATTTCCGCGAACAAGTGTAAATAGTGTGCTGATAAAACACTTTTAAAAACTATATGATATTTAATGGGAAAAAAATAAACAAAAAACACAGAAATGCTGCGAACCCATCGAAAGCTTCAGAGAAATTTAGGCTACATACCAAATTTGTTAGCGCTAGCTTTGAGTATTGGCTGAGGTCGGCAGGGCTAGATAAATTTCGTTTGAATGTCGTCTAATTGCTAAATGAATTGAATTACAGAAGAAATGCCACCGAACGCTATAACCAGCCCGTCCAATGTGCTGGCCACATGCCCCGAGGTGGAGCAGCTGCCGAGCGGCGAGTGTGCATCGACGGCTTCTTCCAAGCAGACCGGTGTGCTCTTTGAAGGTGATGCGGATACTGCAGACTGTGCTTTGGATGTGGATGTAAAAAAGTTGAAAAAGGCCGAGAAACGCAAATTGAAATTGGTTTGGCGCAACATAATGCTCTTCGGCTATTTACATTTGGCAGCTGTCTACGGCGGCTATTTGATGTTAACCCAGGCCAAATGGGCCACAGTTGTCTTCTGTAAGCAGCAAAGAATTTCTTGCCGTTTGGACATTGATTTGACGCAGTTCTTCGTTTTGACGTGTTTTTCCAGCATTTTTCCTATATACTGCGGGCATGATTGGCATTACAGGCGGCGCTCATCGTCTCTGGGCTCATCGCTCCTACAAGGCTAAGTGGCCGTTGCGCGTGATTTTGGTCACCTTCAATACGATTGCCTTTCAGGATGCCGCCTTTCATTGGGCGCGCGATCATCGTGTGCATCACAAGTTCTCCGAAACGGATGCCGATCCGCATAATGCGACACGTGGCTTCTTCTTCTCGCACGTCGGCTGGCTGCTATGCAAGAAGCATCCCGATGTGGTCGCCAAGGGCAAGAGCCTGGATGTTACCGATCTGCGCGCCGATCGCATACTCATGTTCCAGCTCAAGTGAGTAACGAGGTGGCAACTAATGCTGATCACGCTATAACTAATCTCTGCATTTTGGCAGACACTACTTTGTGCTAATGCCACTCGCCTGCTTCATATTGCCCACCATCATACCCATGATTTGCTGGAACGAGTCGTTGCTGTGCTCCTGGTTTGTGGCCACCATGTTCCGCTGGTGCTTCCAACTGAACATGACCTGGTTGGTGAACAGTGCCGCACACAAGTTCGGTGGCCGGCCTTATGACAAGTATGTATTACCTATAATTGTGCATAGATATAGCGTTTGGATACATGTTTATATATATTACTTATGTACAGGAACATTAATCCCTCACAAAGTCCATACGTGTCGGCATTCACCTTCGGCGAAGGCTGGCATAACTATCATCATGTCTTTCCCTGGGACTATAAGACGGCTGAGTGGGGCAGATATTCGCTGAACATGACCACAGCATTCATCGATTTCTTCGCCAAGATCGGTTGGGCCTATGAACTGAAGTCGGTGGCGCCGGAGACCATTGAGCGGCGAGTGCGTCGCACTGGCGATGGAACACACGAGCTGTGGGGCTGGGGCGACAAGGATCTAACCGCAGAGGATGCACAGCATGTGCTGTTCGTTGACAAGAAGGCAGCATAGATGCCTGTGCCTGGGCACAAACTAACTTAATTAACAATATTATAATCTTAAGACATATTCACTTAATACAACGGGTTATATATTCGATAGTAACAAAAACATATACAACAATATAATTAACTCTGATATCGCAATTGATGGATTTTGTTGGTGCGGTAATCGCTTTCTATGGATTGTGACGGAATTGTTATTGTTGCGTCTAGACGGCTGGGGTCTGCAGGTGTTGTCGTGCTGATAAGCATTATCTCTAGCCATGTGCGCTCTAGGCTTTGCTTTCGGGGCTTGGGCAGCGTCAAAGTCTACGGCAGCATGGGACCGTTCTCTTTCTCGTACTTCTTCACCTTCAGATCTAGGATATGCAGCACAACCTCAGCCAGCGCCCTTGGCTGCACGCCTGCCTCAATTAGTTCAAGGCAAATTTCCAGTGCCTCGGTCGAGAGGCGCGTGTTGATCAGCTCGGACATGCCGTGCACTGCAATGCGCAGGGATGGCGATTTGTTCACAACACTCTGCACCATGCCGAGTTGGCCGAGTTCCTTATTCTGGCTATCCGTTTCATCCTGCTTTGAGTCCTCGACTCCAGTAATGCTAGCCATATTATGGTTTTCATTTTTATTCTCCTTTGACTCCCCAGCTCCAGAATTGCTCACCAAATTTTGGTTCTCATTTTCGTTCATATTCTGCGTTTTTGATGCAGGGCTGCTCTCCTTATCGTCACTTGGCACCTCGGCATCCTCATTTGGCTTCTCGATTTCAATTTCTCGATTCTGATTTGGATTTGCAGTAGTCGTGTCCATGTCCTGTTCTCTATTCGACTCACTGGGCGCAGCAATGATGACCTTACTTTGAACAAATTCGGGCACCTCAGCCGGGACAATGCTTACCGTTTTAAGATACTCATTTGGCTCCTTGAGCGCAGTAATCTCAACAGTATCTAAATTCTCATTTGGCTTCTCGTGTGCAGCAATGATTACCTTATTTTCATCCTGGTTTGGTTTCTCCAATGTGTTTTCATCTTCGACGCCTTGCTGGGACATGTTGTGGTGGCAGCAGGATGAATGCCAATTGCGATGGAACTATAGAACGATAGGTCATCAAGTTGTGTATGCTATCGATTATTATTAAGTATCCTTCCGATACTGAGTAATCGTTGCGAACATACGAAATATGTATATGGATTATTTAATTTTTTTGACAGTTGATGCAAACATCTGTTATTGACTTTGTATATTGCAATACTTATCTTGCAACAAACAAAACTCATGGAAAACTACTATAAAATAATAAGACCAAATAATACAGCAGACATTAGCAATCAAACATTAATGTAGAGCTAGATGTCAAATCGAAAGGTTGAGCTCGTATACATAAGTAATATCAATCTTTAAGGAAAAGAATTAATTCAATTTTGTAACAATGCACTGTACCTTTCAATATATAATTAAAAATTTGTTACACATTTGCAGCTAACAACATTCGTGTTAATTTTAACTATTTCCTTAATATCGATACATTGCCTGTGGCATTGAGCTTAAGTATCGAGTAGCATGGAGCTCGATATTTGCTTGTCAGCAATCCCGATACTTGGCGTCTCTAATAATTAGCTCAGAGGCATTAGTTGCAAGCAATTTTGCAGATTTCGGATATCTACCACAAAATTAATAAATAATCGTATCAAGTAAGTTGTTGCATATATGCATATCAATATATATATATTAGTTTTGATTAACCTTGTGCAAAATCAAACATTGTAACAGTTAGAGGTTGCCAAAATCTACACGTCCGCAGCTCGCTTTAAAGGTTAAAGGAATATATATGTACATATGCCAAATAACGACATTAATTTTTGTTTAAAGAGATTAGAACTGTGTGTTTTACGGTATTTTGATGCGCAACACAATCACATAGTGACACATTAGTTTGCATGCAATGACGCAAGGTTTGGATTAGATTTCCCCCTAGGCATAGCTTGAAATCACGCGTTTTCCTTTAAAATGTAACACATTTACAGCCATATGTTAGTTCCATATAGAATTAATATATACATATGTATGTAGTTTAAGGGTTAATCAATTGACGTTCAGCTGCTGAGAACGAGCTGAACAGGCGCTAAAACGATTATAATCACGTTTAATCAAATTGACTTCAGAGTTCATCTGCCTTAGAATTTTCCATGCGACCAATGCGCATTTGCATGTCAAGTTACATTATTTGGAAAATTGTGCAAACATATGTATGTACATATATACTATATACATAAGCTGCACGAACAGCTGATGCACGAATGTCGTTTACGTTCAAGCAACAGCTGTGCATATCGCTTACGTTCTTCGCCCAGTTAAAAGTAGTTCACTATTATTTGATTTAGCGAAGAATTTGTCTCCGCTTTGCCATGCATATATTACTTATAAATGTTTACCACATGATAATCTTTGTCTTTTGCTAGACTCGACCAGATAGGCCAGCAGAAGTTGTTTGTTTAACAAAACTAAACCATGAAATGAAGAAGCTTAATACTCTATTCCGATCGATACTTATATATGTCTAATACGATACTAATTAGATACTTATATGTATCTAATAAGATTCCCTTAAATTTTAAACATTTAAACTTTTTTATTCTGTGTTGTAAATTGTTTCTAACTTATATGCATCATTTTTTAAGTCTAGGGCGAAGGCCTAATAAATTGTATTTTTTTTTTAGAAAAATGAAAGTTTAAAATACTTTTAAGAAATGTCCTTATATAGAGCTAATTACTCACTAGGAGAGCAAACCTCAAGAGTGTTGCCAAACTGTTTACCAAAATTAATAGCATATTTCGCCCTGAAGCTAGGGTATAAAATATCTTCTGTGGGGAATTTATTTTTGTACAGTTTATCAATTTGTTTTTCAACAGGTCAAAGTACAAAAGTGAACACGTTTCAAAGTTAACTAACAATAGTCATTCAAATGGATTATTAATAGCATAACAACTCTGAACCCGTATCAAAGATTAGAAATTGGTAATCTTATTTGTATGATATCTATACAAATATTTTCATAACGGAGTACAGAGCTTGCATGCTTTTGGAAATAGATTTAAATTGTTGTGTACCCCAAGCAAATTTAACAATTTTCCTTTGGCCAGTTACATTATTAAAATTGATCTATTAACGAGGCGATTTCAAAGTCATTTTCATTCATTAACGTGCTTTAAATTGCGCACTTCTCTCAGAAGTGCATACGTGCAAATCTGTAGGTTTCTTATCAGTGCACAGCATCTCTCAATTGATGTACAGCTGTATGTATGTACTGTTATGTACATATACATACACATGTATATGACAGATTGGCGTACGCAAGCTGCGGGCGTATCAACAAATCGAAAGAAAGGGGCAGTAAAAGTTTTGCGTCGCTGCCAACGTCAAAAGTTCTGCGAAGAAAAAAAAGTTTATATTTTCACCACGCTGTCCAAGTTGCTCTCAGTTAGTGTTGAGACCGTAGAGCGTACGGACGTATTAACGCTGACTGTTCGCTTGTTACCCATACAAATACTCTGTGCAAAAACAGTGACAACATCAAGTTTTTATTTGATTTTTACCTAAAAAGAAAAACCGCGAAAAGCTAACTTTATTAGCTTTGTCAAAACAAAAACAGGTTAGTATTCGTTGTCGTTTGGCAGTTGCGACAGGATTTTCAAGTGTTTATGTAAACCATTGACTAACCCAAACGCGAGACTGTAGCCAACTGGCCAGAGAATATATAGAGAAAAAGACACAACCAAAAAAAAAAAAAGTGCTTTTGCGTTCTTCTTTGCTCTTACAGGCAAAAAAAAAAAAACTGCTACAAGTCCAAGCGAACCGATCATCAGGCATGCAAATCGTTAAATTTTAAAGCTTAATTATTTTCTTATAAGCTTCTCTTCAACTTTTGAAGGCTGTACTTAAACGGCCAATGCGTCTATTTGTCGAAGGTTAGAGACCTAGACGCAAACACTCGGGCTCTTTTATAGTTAGCTTGGGGCATTTAGCTACTCGACCATGTACCTATTTAACATACTAATGCTATGGCTCGCAGACTATACAATGAAACATAAATTATTAACGAAATATGCATATGTATGTTATTCTTGTGCCACGGTTAATTTGTCAATATGTATGCAAAAGAGCTTACATCCTAACATTATGTTAGCTCAGCTACAATTTCCGTATATTGAAATGCAAGTTTGTTTTTTCTGATCGTAATGAATTCCGACTAATGAACTCGTATTGTGGAAACTTAAAATGCAAAAACTCATTACATTGTCGAAATCAAGAAAAATGTAATATGACTTAATTAACATGAACTTTTTTTTTTTAAAAATGCTTCGCTTTGTTAATTGTACACTTACATTAAACGATGTGTCGTGTATCTAGCTAAATGGAACACATTTAATATTTGCTAATAAATTGAACAAGCTGCCGGAAAGCTCTTTATTTTTTTTTTTTTTTTTGCAAAATTAAGCACACAATTTAGCAGATTAGAGGCATCAATAGAAAATGACCGAGACGACCCGATTTTACGTGTTGAGCAGAGCGAATCACGCTGTTGCAACGTGATGCCGGTCGGCGAATTAAGCTCCAGCCCAATTTCTCTCTTGCTCTCTCACGCTCTGTCGCTCTCTTGTTCTGTGTGCACGGGCATTGTCGCCAATGGGACTGCGTCAACTCAGATTTCAAGTTCAATATCAAAGCGTTAGACTGTATCTCATACGAGGCGCAACATAATGAAAACTGGCAAAAAAAAACACAAATAGGCAGGCATAGGCAGACGTTTGCCGGTTCTGCGAAGTGTTATGGTGCGTCTCTCTTCGCGAGAATAAACAGTTGTTTACTTTACTTGTGCGCCTTAGTAGTAAAGCTTTCGTAGGCGATCGTCTCTTTTCGTTGATTTCTAAATATTCTTTGAAATGAAAGTATACACACGCACACATACAACAATATTATACAAACAAACTCAACCAGATTTCTTGTTCTTGCCATCGTTCTGCCTCTGTCTTGCACTGTTGTTGCGTTAACCGAGTCTGGCGTAGACATCGTATGACTTCAAGCACACCTATGTATGTATGTATATACACGTGGTTCACATTTCAATGTTATGATGTATGTACACACTTACATATGTGTGGGTGTTTGTTCTTTTGCATGTATGTATGCGCGGCTGCAAGTCAAGCTGGCAATGCATTTTACACTGAAAAATACAAGCTTTGTTTTTCTGTACCTGCTAAAGCTGGCGTGTTTTATATTTTCGTTTATTTATTTAGTTAATTTGTTTTCTTAATGTATATCAGTAACACATGATGTTTCATCAGATTTTTGTTTAGACAGCAACTGGCCATTAGATTCACATTACCCGCTAGAAATGCGAAGCGATAAAGCAACGTGATTAACTGTCGTCAGTTATCGGTAGAATATAAAACCCTGACCCTGAATAATATAAAAGCATCATTCGATGTCTGCTTTTCTATAGATAATATTTCTTTTAATCGCTGCACACCTGTAAAAGCTTGCCGGCACAACAAACAAACCAATTTGGGTTGACCAAAGCTTACGTAAGCAAAAGCTCCAACATACAGCTGCTTGATGGCTTATGCGCAAATTTTCTACTCAACAGTTTAAAACTTAACCCCCAGTTGGCAGGTTGTCCAATAAGAACTTTTTATAAGTGAACAAAGGTAAACCAAAGCAGCCGCTCTTTAGCTGCATGTGCTCATATGTGTGCATACACATACAATACACATAAATAGTTCATCTACTAATTGATGTCGGTTTGTTTTTTTGCTTGAATAACAGTTATTACCGTCTCTTTAATTCGCAATTCTTGTTGCCAAAGTGTTGGTGTGTTTGTATAAGAAATTTGAAGCTAGGAAATTTTCCATGACACACACACACGCACACTTCTGCAAGCTAATGCCTGCCCCCCCCCCTAGTGACCCACATGTGTGCTTGTATGTGTGTACACACAAACATGCAGAGGTGTGAATTGTTTTCGACTGCAGCTGGCGCTCTCCGTTGTTTTCGTTGTTGTTGTTGTTATGTTTAATTATTAACCGTAAAATCTCTTAATGGACAGACGCCCTGAGCAGCCATCTGCATTAGCCGGTCGCATATAAAAGTCCCAATTTGTTTTGTTACTTTTTAAAAAATTCCTTTTTTTTTTTGTTTTTGTTATTGTAAAATATCCCTGCTCCAGAGGCAGGAAATTTACTTTAAATTGGATACAACTCGCGCGAATTTCCCGTTTTGATTATTTTTGTTGCTTATTCAAAAAAAAAAAAAAAAAAGTGCCTTTCTTTCACTGTGTTGGCGGTTATCCTTCGCCAAGGACAGGCATAAGTTTATTGATTTTTTTTATCCATCAGCCTGCCTCAACGTAGTTCAAGGTGCTCAAGGCTTAGCCTGACAATAAATTGCAAGGTAAATTATTGTTATTAACGTTAAGTAACGTAAGGCAGCAACAATTTACGAGCTTGGCAATAAAGACGAGGCGACCACGACAACACCTTTGGGAGCGCGTCTAGGGCGGCAGCTATAGGCAAAGCGTGTCAAGTTCAGCTTAGCCAATTTGTTAAGTTAATTGCCCAAGCAATTAATTTAAAATTTGTTTTTTTTTTTGTAGTGTGTTTTTTTTTTTGTTTAATGCATTTTGTGATCGTTTTGGTTGGTTTTTTGTTGCAGCAACTGGTGCCACAATATGCCGCCCAACGCAACCGCCGGAGGGCAGTCGATTACCGACTCGCTAATCTCGGCCGCTGCCACAGCAGCCGCCGAATCGGAGCAGAATCCCACCAAGCTGCAGCAGGATTCGACCGGTGTGCTGTTCGAGTGCGATGCCGAGACCATCGATGGCGGCCTCGTCAAGGATATTGTCTCCATGAAAAAGGCCGACAGGCGCAAACTGAAACTCGTCTGGCGCAATATAATACTCTTTGGCTATTTGCACTTGGCCGCACTCTACGGCGCTTGGCTGATCTTCACCTCGGCCAAATGGCAGACAATTGCTTTGGGTAAGTGGACACACACGCACACACACACACACACACACACAGATAGCCCCAATCACCTCAATCATCAATATGTTTCCATGTTTATTCATTGCTGACAATTTTTTCCTCGCGTGCCGCGCATTCCAATTGCGAGGTTATCGTCGGGTTGTTTATTTCAAATTTGGCGCTGATAACATTGGGCAAAGTCTTATCGCAGTCCGCCAGTCCAGGCTCAAAATTAGCATAATGCCTAATTCAAGTCGCATATTTAATGCGATTTGATTATAATACACTTTTTCTCATTTGCAACTTTAGAAGTTCTATTCGCGATATTTAATTAGGCAAGCTTAAAAGAATTTTATAAATTAAATATATAAAAAAAAAAAAATACTACAACGCACTTTTGCTTAATATATCTTATGGCAACACAATTCCGAAAGCTCTTCAAATTCCTGTTCAATAATCAATGAGAGAATATAAGTAAAGAAAATTAAATTCGGTTTATCTGTTTGCAATGCGCATATTCTAAATGGGTTCCTATTTAGGGAATGTCTAATTTACGGGGTCAGGCGGAACTCTATTTCTAGCTGTTCCAAGTATTTCGTCGACCCTAGCCCCATTACTTATCCGACTAGTAGCAGTTGTTTTGCTGTCAACACGCTTAGTATATGGGAACAATGAAATTTAAACCTAAAAGTTCTTACACACACACACACACACACTCACAAGCACACACACGTATAATACACCTTTTCGAAGACATATGGATAACTTTCGAGTGCCCCGCAAGGTCAATCGGCATGTGCTGAAGGCCGTCAGGTACATCACTGATAACGAGCATCTGGAATATGCGCCATTCTCAGTGATACAAGAGCACGTAAAGTACTCGATGCGTAATGGAAATCCTGTGCATCGTCTAGATGATTGCATCAAATCCTCGCTGCATAATTTAACCTTTCTGGGCATACTCTCTGCCAGCGATGATAGCACATCGTATGCCATACGCAACATTGGGGACATGCTTGTTAAATCCAAGAATCTAGCGCAGCTTGATCATGATCAACCAGAGCCAGTGTAAAACTCTGTATTATTTCCTTTTGTAGAATGATAAATTTTTAGTTGTAATGGAAGGAAAATACATACTCGATAATGACATGATGCCATAATCTTTGGTTATTTGTAGCTACGAAGATATATAATTAATATCCTTGTGCTCTTTTTACAGCTTTCGTTCTTTATGCTGTCTCTGGCTTGGGCATTACGGCTGGCGCTCATCGTCTGTGGGCCCATCGTTCGTACAAGGCTAAGTGGCCGTTGCGCGTGATTTTGGTGATATTCAATACGGTGGCCTTCCAGGATGCCGCTTTCCATTGGGCTCGCGATCATCGTGTGCATCACAAGTATTCGGAAACCGATGCCGATCCGCACAATGCGACACGTGGCTTCTTCTTCTCGCACATTGGCTGGCTGCTGTGCAAGAAGCATCCCGAGGTGAAGGCCAAGGGCAAGGGTGTTGATCTGTCCGATCTGCGCGCCGATCCCGTCCTGATGTTCCAGAAGAGGTGAGTGCATAGCTAAATCCAATGCCTGGACGACCTTTAGCTGAAATTGGTTCTCGATTTTAGACACTACATGATTCTGATGCCCCTGGCCTGTTTCATTCTGCCGACTTTGGCGCCCATGTACTTCTGGAATGAGACCTTGATGAATGCCTGGTTTGTGGCCACCATGTTCCGCTGGTGCTTCATTCTGAATGTGACCTGGCTGGTGAATAGTGCTGCGCACAAATTCGGTGGCCGTCCCTATGACAGGTGAGCGAATATCTGAAAAAGAGACGTAGTATCATATTTTTGACTGTTCTCTACTTATTGACAGATTCATCAATCCTTCGGAGAACATTTCTGTTGCGTTGCTCGCTTTCGGCGAGGGCTGGCATAACTATCATCATGTGTTCCCCTGGGACTACAAGACCGCTGAGTTTGGCAAATATTCGCTAAATCTGACCACGGCCTTCATTGATTTCTTTGCCAAGATTGGCTGGGCCTACGATCTAAAGAGCGTCTCCCCCGACATTATCAAGAAGCGTGTGAAGCGCACCGGCGATGGCACCCACGCCACCTGGGGCTGGGGCGATAAGGATCAGCCAAAGGAGGAGATCGATGATGCCGTGATTACACACAAAAAGAGCGAATAAATTAAGAGCGGATCACGCGCTAAAGCCAGAATGAATTGAATCAAATGATACAACAGAAACAGAGTAACAACATAATGAAAGAAATTTTCAATTTTACACATGCCGGCTAAAGGATATTCAAAGCAGCATAGCAAAAAAAAAAAAAAAAAACCAAACAAAAAAAAAGAACATACAAACAGAAACCCTTTAAATAATTTTAAGAAACGATGTTAATGATAAATATCTGTTGTTTATCAATAACTGTATACCGTCTGTGTTAAACCAGCTCTGGAAATTGTTTTTCGCTCCACATTTGCTTTTTTTTGGAGATGCATAGAGTCAGCCGATCTGGACGCCAGCCAAGTGTACAAAGTACTCCGCTGGGCAGCAACTGGACGGCAGCCAGATAAAATTTATCTTTATACTTATACATACACATACCATGCTATATACTATTACATATATGTTATAAACAAAGAAAAACCAATTTTGATTTATGGTTCAATTGGAAATATTTCGAGCCTAACTCCAGTTTGTAGCAAGCGAAAGATTCAGTTAAATGTAATGAAATTGATTATAACGATAAATGCCTATAAAAGATTTTAGTATTTATAGTGAACCAAAAAGAACTAACACACAAAAGAAATCATGATATATTATATGTTTACGATATAATAAACGATCTATGTTAGACACACAAAACCTCTTGAACACTTACATGAATTTTGCAAAATTGTTATAAATAAAATCGAAAATCTCTTCGTTTTAGCTTTTAAACAGTAGACTTGGCATTTTCACTCGTAGCTCGAAACAGTGGACGCCTGTTTGGCAGCTCACACAACATTTCCGAAACTCGTACAGAATAGAACACAAGCTATATACGAGGCAAACGAGAATATAGTAAGAATTTTATAAACACAAGAGAAACAAAATTTAATCTAACAAAATTATTGTTTAAACATTTAATGTTTGACATGGATCAGTTCAATGTGCCCAAGAAAGTGAATCGACATGTCTTTAAAGCCGTCTCCGCATTGCAGACCTCGCGTTCGGGCTTCGTGTCTGCCGAGCTGATCAACCAGCACGTTAAGCGCCAAATGCGCCGGGGCAAGAATGTGCCCAATTTGGATGAGATCATACATCAGTCGCTGGCCAATCTGACCAATCTTGGCGTGCTGGCCTGCACTGGCTCCTCGGACTATGCCATACGGCATACCATCAAGTGTGCCACCGATGAATATTCTCTGCTGCCGAATCCCATGTGCCAGGTAGATACCTCGGCAGCGGCATCAGCATCAGCAGCAGCAGCAGCAGCAGCTCCTCGCAAGCGAATTACATGCTCCAATCCAGTGCGGGTGATTAGCGCCGATTCAGCGGGTAAGGTTAGGCTGCGCACACGTGTGCCGCGCATCAGGAAAGGTGCGGTCAAAGCCGTTAAGCGTGCTCCCGTATCGAAGACAAGGCGAGCACGTGCTCCGTTTTCGCGCCAAAGAAAGAGTGGCCAGCGTCGGCCGTCGATAATGTGCATTGCTTGCCGCTCGGCCGTAATGGATTTGGTCAAAATATGTCAAATGATTAATCAGTGCAGCAGCATGGACGCACATGGAACACATATTGTAGCTGAAAACGCAGCTGAATCCTCTATACCCATGGCCATGGAAATAGAGCCTAATGTGGTGCCTCAGGTTTCGCCTATGTACGCACCAAGCCATGACAATTCTCAAGGTAATCACGCCAATAATTCTACTTAAAATGGTCTGGCTTTAATTTCATTTATATTAGCTTTTAACAACAAACAATTGAAAATATCCCAAAAAATGTTGGTATTCAAATAAAATTTACTTACACAGCAATCCGCCCGATTTTCGATAGTCCAAACATTCGATAAATGGAATACCAGTTTGTGGTGGTTGCTCGACAGTCGCTTAAACTGAGCAGCTGATACTGTTAGCGTATTAACAGTGCCATTGCGAGCTAACATTAACATGACTACAATATAATTAACATTGTGTATATTTACACATTCTCTTTTTAATTTCAATCCACTCTCAAACCTCATCACATACACATTAACCCAACGTCAAACGTTTTTGGTGTCTTTCGGTTTAAATTCTCCGTGAAGCTTCTTTTGGGTTGCTAATTATTGTTTAGGCAATTGTTTAACAATATGCATAAATAAAATTGTGTTTTTATGTTTTGATTTTAACCCGCGCTGAGCATCTAAATTCGCTGTCGCTGGTAACGTCGCCGTCGCCGTCGCCCCCTCCGTAACTCAGCCGTCGTCTTGCTTGTGACGTCAAATGCTGCGCGTCTGATATGCACAATATAAACAAATAAATAAAACTACACAAAATTGTGCTAATCAAGACAAGTAAAAAAAAATAAGACAAAATGGAGATGAAATTCGTAATGATAATAATACTTGGCTTTGGTTTTATGTTTGTTTTTACTGCATTTCAAACAATGTGCAATATTGAGGTAAGTTCTGAGTGTGCGTCCGGGCTTTTGTGTGTATGCGTGGGCGTTGTTGACAATCCCCTGCGCCAGAGCGCTATTTTCGTCCTTGTCCTTGCCAATAGACGTTGTAGTAGCCTTGGCATACGTGGCGTCGTCTTGTGTCAGTTATTGCCAGCCAACCCCCCACACACACACACACACACACCCACATATACCGTATTAGCTGCTGCACACAAAGAAAGCGATTCATTCAATTACCATTTGAGTAAATTACACTGATTTCTGTCTGTATAAACTAATAGACTGCCCTAGTTGTTGTATATCGTATTTCTAATCAATTCTAAGACGCTGTTTGCTTAAGCTGCGGCCCGTTTTTATAATACGATAATATATCATGACTGATAACGCAAGACGTTGCAGCCGTTAAATTATCATTCATTCGCTTGCATATCTATAAATACATTTATTTAATGCAATTGGAGACTGGCTTGCATTCAATTGACGAGCTCAAAAGTCAACTTCCATTGCGAGTCAACTCCCTTTGTCAAAGGGCAGATGTCAGTTAACTGGCGGCGAGAGATGCTTCTCGCACTGTAAACGCGCTGACATTGATAGGCCTTTGTGGTGCGATAATAAGAGAACGCCCACACAAATTAAGCTTGTGTTATGGTGTATGCCTTTGTATTTGCTTATTCCCTGCTGTCATTATTGTAATTACAAACATTTAATGTTTTTTATGGCTGCATATATGTAGCTTCATTACTGCGTCCATTCACTTGTTGGCTTACATAGCGGTTTATTCAGGCTTTTGTCCGGATTCTGTTAACAGTGTTAAGATGAAGGTCGCTCGCTGTGTATACATATACATATACATTTATACATATATAAACTGCGCTGTTATTCGAAATGCCTTGCAAATGTTTGCAACATTTTTTCATTACATATGTAACGCCTGTAGCATATGCAGTATTATGTTGCTTTACATTTTTAGCATGTTAATTTCAAATGGGAATATTTTATAAACAAAATCCCAATATTTTCTTCCTGACAAATCTTTTTTGAAACTCAAGTAAAAGCTTGAGTTAATTAAGAATTCTTTAAATGGATTTGCTCTTAAAATAAGCCGGTTTTAACTAATTCCGGAAAATATTTAGTCAGAAGACAAGTGTATTTTTAGGTCGGCACGTTGAAATATCGTGTTATTTCAATCGTTTTTTTTTTGTTGAAATTCAGGTTTTTTGTTTTGTATGCTAAGCACTTTTTTATCGCTTGCCTTTTGGAAAGCGATCTGAAACGGAATAACACACTGCAGTAAGTGTTTTGTATTGAACATTTACTCATCATAACTACATTCTGTTATGGTACGCAGTTCATTGAACCGTTTGCAAAAACCGTTATTGTACCGCTTTAAGTTCGAACCTGTGACGTTTTTTTTTTGCATCTTCAACGGCTTTGTTTGACAGTAACCAGGTTTTATTTAATTAATGAGCAGCGTATGGTGTATATATATCGCATATATGTAGCTCTCACTTTTATGGCAACGTGTACTTTGTGCAATATGCCCTCCAGTTAATTCGTTTGTTGTTTTCTTTTTATATTGTTAAACAATTTATTACGCTCCAAATCGAAGTGAGTTGGAATTCCAAGCAGGGCGTGCACCAAACACCGCTTACAAAACATATAGATGAATAAAAACGATCGATCGACCAGTCGTAGCCAATACATACAGTGTATATACTATATCTGTGTAGCCCATTAGAGCGCAATTTTTGGTGCAAAAGGCCTTGGCATGTGGCGCAATCTATCCATAGGCACGCTAGTACACTTACTATGGAGTTATCCACTGACCCAAAAATAAATTTAGATAACTGCAACTGCTATCCAAATATAAAAGAAAATGCGTAAATGCTCTTCAAAGTGCATTAACATACATATGTTAATGTATAATCGATGTAAACAAGTATTCAAAAACGTAAACTGTTAACAACATTAACAGCTGCTTAACATTCAATTGCTATGTATGTATGTCAAAGGGAAATTAAAAAGGAATATATAACTGTAGATATATTGAATTTAATTGTAGTTAGTTTGTCAGCCCGGTCATAACTGCTAACTTTCCACATGCTTGCGCAATCAAATACAAAGTACTATTCACAATATAGGTTGCAACCAACTGTCTGTGTGTGCGCTAACGCATCAAAGTCAACTCTTTCAATGTCATTGCAAATGCAAGTTCGCCACACACACACACAAACTCACACAGCATACATGCACAGGCTCAAGGCCAGACTGACCAGCGTATGCATTTGATTAACATGCAAACAGAAATACTAACAGCGCACACACTTAAAAAAAAAAAATATCGCAAAAGTGTTGCTAAACGATGCAAAACTGCGCCTGTCCCATTGGCTGAGCATAATAACCGTTAGGCGCCAACTGCAACGTCATTGCTCAAACCCAAAAAGTGGGTGCGCCATAGACGAGCCCACCAGGACCCCCGTCCACCTGCTGCCCCCCGCCAACATTGCAGTTGTCTACAATAGAAAGAAAAAATAAAAACAAACCAATGAAACTAGTTTCAGCATTTATTTTTTTTGCAGGCCTTCTTTTTGGCGCCACATTCGTATTGTTAAAAAGTTGTGGCACCAGTTGATATTTGCGTAACATGCGCATAACTCTTTTATATCAGATCTCGGCGCTTGATACGTTTGCAGCAGCAGCTTTTAATTCCGGCTGCCTTTTTTTTTTGCAGTACTTACTTTTGTTTACAGGTTGGGCCATTGACTTTCACATGCCTGCATACATACATACACACACACACACACACACATATATACATACGTACGTATGTTAAGGCCTGCGTTTTTTAAGACTTTGTCTCTCATGTGGTATTTGCACAAAACTTGACCCACTTTGGCAAGAGCAACTCTTCTTTATGTTCTTTGTGTGCTCCAGAGTCGCAATTGAGCTGATTATAACTGTAGTTCTCTTATCAGTTAATTGTTGTTGCACGCATTGGAGACTTTGTAGTGGTATTTATGATTATAACTGTACGTAAGTGTGTGTGTGTGTGTGTGTGTGTGTGTGTAGGTGCAAGTCTTATGGATTTGTTGAGGCCCTGATAACAGCGATTTATAATTTGGAAAGCCGCAATTAATAGGTTTCTGGCTAATAAATACTCTTTTTCGTCAAAAGATAAGAAGCTTTAGTTTTCGAATGGAATTTGATTGCATATTTTTTGGAGTGCCGACTGTTAAATACCCTTGCAAATGTGCTATTCTTTCTTTTCTCTTTTAATTGGACCCAAAATTTGATAGCTGTCAGATCTTGATAAGCGTGTAATTGCCAAGTTCGGTACGCTTATGAAAATATGAAATGCATTAAATTGTTAGCAACGATACGATTCGATACTTCAGCTTCGTTTTGAGCCTGCGTGTTGATAAATTCCTGCATTCACAATGAAACATTTTACTTTCACTTTCCCCACTGTCATTGACTTTTTGCACACGTTCGCCCAACTTGAGGGGGCTCGAGGATGGGCTAGCTCTAAGATCAGCATAAGTAAGATCTAGTTCTGGGCGTACGATAGATAATACGTGCTGACAACTTGACTTCTTATTGGGCACAAGGACTGGTGCGTAATCAATGCAAATCGTATTGGTGTCAGAGTCAAGTAGACGATAACGATATCATTTCGTTTTGAAGCTTTCAGACAAAATCCTTCGGCTTGAGCGTGGAAAATTTTTTGCAACAGACAAAACACGTTTCGTCTACGTCTGTGGCACGTAATTTTCCATAAATATTAATTAATTTTGTATGCAAAATGTGGCAGCGGAGCAGCCATGCAAGAATTTTCAGCTGCAGCTGTCATTGCACTTGAATTTGGCCGTAAAACTCGTTTAGAGCTGTTTTGCCAATTGACTTAAGATATATTTATGTACATTTAAAGCTCTATATATACAGCTCTGTAGTTGACAAACGTTCTAAACAAAAGCCGTGCCCATATGGAAACAACGCCCACCACATCCGCATCCGCGTCCGCATAGGAAACGCTTAAACTGGCAGTTTTTTTCAGCTATTCTAACCCTGAGCAGTCGACACGTGCTTAAAATTCAAGCAAAACATTTCAAAATTATATTGTATTTGTATAATCTGAAAATAGGTGAACAAAATGGCCGGGTATATTGCTTCTAGCAGCACTATAAAATATAAATATTTTTTTGAGCAGGACAATTAGTAACACTAAAATGAGAATAGAAGCTCTTGAGAAGCAAAGTTCTTCTTAATTCGATAAGTCGCCCAACATAACTTAACCCAAAATCGATAAATATCGATTATGAATTTGAGAGCTAGAGACAAAAAACTCTAGATAGCATATGAATACAAGTCTTTCTAAAATTTGAAT